ATTTTAGAATTTTAAATTACCTAAATACCTCCGGGCATTTTAATAACTCCTTGGAAATCATAAATCGTGCACTTTTTGAAATTATGTATCGTAAATATAAAAGTTGGTGTCACCATACTTTAAATCGAGGTCAAAGGTCATCACTTAAAAACTTCCTATTTTCATCCAGAGAAACAAACCACTAATTTGTTTTCAAAATTAATAATCTATTCAACAAATTATTCAAATAGAATTAAGTATCAATGCTTCAGATCATTCAGACCATACGTAGATGGTTTTCATGTTTGCACATTACTTTTTATTTAACCTATTCCAAGATGACACGTTTTGTGGAAGATTCAAAGACAAATAAATAAACAGTATCAGAATGACCTTGATCTTCGACGCCGATAAATAGCATTTCTGGACCAGATACACACACACTTTACAATAATAGGTTTTTAAGAGTATCCACAATACATTGTTGATAAAATCAAACAGCATTTGCAGTCCTGTTAAATCTCGTCTCAGTTTTCATTGATTCGACATGTCACTGAGCTTTCTGGAAATGAAATACACGATACCTTTTCGGATGATGCCGGTAGCGTGCGCTATTGAAGTTACAACTACGATTAGTGTTCATTCGACATTAATTACTGCAACGAGTGTAAGCGTGTTTCATGACAACTTCAAAAAGTAAGACATGGTCGTTTTTATAAAAAATGAAACGTCGAAAAAATTATAGCAAATTAGAATTCACAAACGAACTGAAATAGGAACACCCCAATAAAATATTTGAATTAAACAACGTTTATGATATTTCATCTGTGTCTGCCTACATTTTGACAAAAACAAAAATACGTGCAAGGAAGACACTGCTCCTTGCTAACACATGCTGCCTGACATGCGCTTTTCCCTTATACAAACATTAAAAGATCTTGTTAAAAGTTAGATAGCATTTGTCCTTCTGACTCTAACTTAATTGTCGTTTTGCACAATTGTCCAACCAAATTCACATGAAGTGCCATTATTTGGTTAGGCAACATTTAGCGGCACCCAAACTTTGCTTTGTCACATTGCACGTAACACATGTTACACCAACTAATAAGGCGCAAGCTTAATAAGGCGTAAGCTTAATAAGGCGTTTATCTTTATTAATAGCCAACTTATGTGTTAGCAAACTTAAAATGTTGTTCGATTTCTTAAACTTGTATTTCGACTGGTATAAAGCAGTAACAAACACCCTAGAAGCATGTATTATAGCACTATTAAGATCACCATGTGTAAATGTTTCTGTACAAGATTACTGAAGCGGATCGGTTTCGTCCAATGAAGGTTGAATACCGACTTTTTACCGATTCCAAAAAACTTGTAAAATTAAATCCACTCAAGCTATTCTATCCTTGACGTCTTACCACCAAACATAGCATCAGCGTGAAAACATGTCAAATTATTCTGGTACCTGTCTCTTCATGGCTACAACGTTGAGTCGAACAACTACCGGAAATGTCGCTTACAGATTGCACTTTGTAAATACAGCTGTTTAACAAACCACGCCTCTTTTGGGGAGACATATAATATTCATAAACATTTGCATTGGTTTGTTTTCTTACTGGTTCCCTGCTTCATATCATAGAGACATAACTTGGGAATGTTACCAGTATATAAAATACACATGGATAGCGGCGAAATTGAATTCTGAGAAAGACCAAAAGAGAAGGGAGGGGTAGTAAAGCATTTTAGTATAAGTTTAAACTCCTAGAAGTTCGGGGCATATAAATCTTGAAAATATGCCGCGCAGCCCTATGTTTTGACCTTTGAATAAAATAGTAGTGCATATGAACTTTCCATTCTAGGATATAATTTTTTACGAAACTTCAAAGTAAAAGTGGCACAGTTTTAGCCGTAAAGGGAGTTCCTATGGGAAATTGCATTGTCTATATTTACAGAAGTACAACCTACAATTGCAATGCTAGATTTACCTTGTTTTTGTTGAGCAAAGAACACATTGCCATCCCTTTAGTGCTTCTCAAGTTTAGCTATGAGTTTAGTGTAATTACAGTAGGTAGGTCTTAATACTAGTACTATTTGAGTTTAGAGAAATTACAGTATGGCTTAATATTGTTATTTGATAAGAAAGACTGGAACATTGTCAAAGTTGATGACATTACAATAGACGATTTGTCACGAATAAGGTCTATAATTTCACTACCCGGCCTTTCGAACGCCACATTATACGCAGATTTATCAGTGGACTTTGCTCTATATGCCAAGTATGTGGTCAAACATGCTGCATGTTAAACTGCATTATTATTGAGGAAACTCTCTTGCTCTATTCAGTAAATCATTTCAGCATTGCCTGCCCTTACAGCAGCATTATTAAGATTGGCCCTTCAGCAGACGAAATTGTATATAATCTTTTCACCTTTTTTGTACCAAGTCAGGAATATGACAGTTGTTTTCCATTCGTTTGATATGTTTGAGCTTTAATTTTGATTTTGTCGTTTGATAAATGACTTTCCGTTTTGAATTTTTCGTGGTGTTCGATATTTTAGTTATTCTACTTTTTATGAAACATTTTCTTGCAAATTGTACGCTTTGGTGTATCAAGAAGATAAACACTACTTTCAGCCAACAAAGAATTTGATAAATCTTGCTTCATACCTACTGTTTCCTTTTCAGCCGAAGAACATGCTACTGGTTTCAAATTCTGCTTACTTGTGTAGCTTTTAAAATAAGACCTGTGATACCTACATGTGGTGGAATCAGTTAATATCTCATTACAGAATGCATTCAAATAAATGAATAAATCATCACGTCTCTTTGCTGCAGCATTTATGGGACCTTTCCTTCCAGATTCTGTAGCTATTATTAGATGATTAAAATTTCACTAACTATAGAATCAATAATTCATTTGTCAACTTCAACTGCAAAGCGCTTATTTTCACATCGGACGAATCCAGTTTTAACGAACTAGTGTAATTGTTTATTGACTTTAATATACAACAAATCGAACTCACCTGAAAACCAAACGCGCCCGTCAATGATAATCACGTTCCCGGTTAAATTCAACAAACACGACTAAACAACAATATCAAACAGCATAAATAAATCGCAAGGCTTCAGAATTTATAAATTGAACAAGAAATACGCTTGATAATGACTACAACTTCGCAAAATCGCCTAATGTGGCTAATGCGCATTTACTGATTTTGTGTCATGGATGGATGTCCCATATGATTTGTTTTTCTATCAAACACTGAAACCTCAACAGTATCGGTTAATGTGTGACAAAAATCCAGAATTGAAATCCAGATAAAATGAAGATATTTAACCACTATATATAAATCATATTACTAATCAACTTCAGAAAGTAAATGAGGTCGATTGAAGTATTATACAGCGGCTTTACTGTTGTACCTTTAGAATACATCTATACAGATGTTATGCACGTGCAAATGATGCTAGGTAAAATACCGCAATTTTCAGATTCATTGTGTTTGATTATAGAACTAGATAGAAATGTCTTTTTATTGTATGAAGTTCAAGTATAACCATATTTACCCAATTCGTTCACAAATCATGTTTTGGAGGGGATTATGAGATTTGTCTACCAAATCAGAAGTGGGGTCTTCGATGAAAGTTGGATAACGTCAGTTAAAGCCGTTTTTGATGTCATTTGCACCACATTTGACATTAACGACATAATTTTTCTGAAGTTGAATAATCGATAGACATTTTAAGACATTAACATTCCATGAGGTATTTAGGTAGTTTAAAGTCGTTAAATAGTTGGCTTTTTAAGCATTCGCCGCTCCACTTTAAGAGCATTAAACATTATTTTCAAAAATCAAAAAAACTAATGTCAACTAGATAAATTCATGCTTTGTGTAGAAACACTTGCTATTTCGAATGATGTTGAAGTTTATGAATAGTTAATTTAGAACAAAACGGAGTATAAATGATAGTTCATGTCAGCTCAGGAGTGCTGGTTACTGGGCTTGCGTCTACCAGCAGTGACATTTACCCAGTTGTTTTGAAAAAACTTACCACAGATAGAGATCCATACACGTATAAACAAGTTATTGTCCTGAAACATGAAAATGCTTGTTTTTGGCCCATAATCATTAAACAGTTGGGCAATAATCCACAATATCATTCCCAACCTTCCTTTAATTTTGTGGTATGGAACTTTGTGGTACAATTTCATATAGATCCATACACTTATACTCAAGTCATTGTCTGGAAACCAAATGTCTTCGGACGAGGACGACGACGACAAACTCCTACAATAAAAAATGTTTGCGGTCGTATAAAAATATGAATGTTTCAAACAATATTTACAAGGCAGAACATGAAAGCCACTCATACGAAATGCAAATGAACAAAATTAATTCTATTTCAAAAAGTCCTGATCATTGTTTTACTTCTCGGTCTATTTGCAGTTATGTCGTAAAGTGACGAACGCATAAAAAGACAAGTCTTCGACAAAAGGAAGAAAAAGAGGTTAAGAAAATGTATAAAACATTATATCACACAGAAGAATTTCATTTTGGAGTTTATCTTTTGGACAAAGTAAAGAATTCCAAGAAAGTGCCTACAATATTAATACTTGTTAGTATCAGTCAACTGCCCAGTGTTTTATTTAGAGTGCCCTGTGGGTTTCGATGTTGGTCGATCTTTATGATTCTGTTAACGTTTTAAATGTTATTTCGGAGGATTTATGGCATGCAATTGTTTGTCCTTCCTTGATTGATAATTGAAATAAACCCCCCTTTTGGTATATGCTTACCATTTTATTTATTTTTTTCAGATATTTGTGACATTGAAATCAAAATAGTCAATCTAATAATCTAACCAGATGATCTATATTTAAAATCTGGTTTTCGCAGTTGTGTCTTTAGCAATTTATATTTTGAATTGCACCAAATATCGGGATCTACCTGTTAACTGTGCTTCTGTGGCGGGTATTTAAAGTGTTCAATCTTAATAAGCACGTAAGATGTAAAAATCTTTTTTTTAAACAAGAATTACATGTAAGCTATTTTTAGTTACAGTGGATTTTCCTCGTCTATAATTATGAATTTTCTATTTACAATTATGGAGCACCGAATCATATCATAGTTAGCGTAACATGATAAGCGCAAAGTAGGTGTGTGTTGTGTTAAAGAAGGAAGTATAAACGTATTTTAAAACTCAGGTATAGCGAATGGCATTGTCACTATCTGTTTGTTTGCTTGAATTAATGTTGAATCAAATTGAATCTTTCTTTTTTTTGTGAACAAGTTAATCTATATACTTTTATGGGCGTATCCTTGGAACGATAATAATTACTTGGGTATGCCCGATGTAAGAATTTCAATACGTTTTGTGTATCGGTCCTTTAAATACGTCAGGGATAATCAAAGCTGTTATCTTATGACATTTTTTTTTAAATCAGCATGATATTTCATATTATCTTAAAACACAAGGCCATACAAAATCTATAAATTGTAAATAATATTTGCGTGATAAGATATAATCTGGTTTGTTTCTATTTTAGTTGAAACCGTCTGTTATTACTTGTGAATGTTATCGTATAAGACACAATGGATAGATCACAAAGATACCTCTTGACATATTATGTAATAACAACATGTTATCTAGCTGTAAGTATTACATGTAGAAATACTTATGTTTCCTAATCACAAACATATTATTGTCCTTATTTTAGACTGATGTAAAACATTATAAAACAATTAGAAACCAATTGTTCATAAACAATTGAAGGTCTTTCCACATCATGATGACATTAGTGTTTTGATAAAAAAGATAACAAAAAAGGTATGAGAAAACAGGTAACCTAAACACTGATTCCAAAAATATATGATTCAATGTACTTTCTTTTGAAATATGGGGCCAACATTAGCTACTTCCGATTTGGAAAATTACACTTCCGATGTAATTTGAAATGCAGACAGAAAAATTGATTATAAAATATTCTCTAATTCTTCGTCAATTTATCCCTTTCTGCACCCATTGTATAAAAAAAATTTAATCAACGTGTGGTTCGTTTGATCTCAGTTCTTCATTGGTTAAAATCCGATTATGACGTCGAATTTTCTTGCTTTCCTCTGAATTTCCTATTGTGACGGCATGAAAAAAGGCGACCATGCCTGATGACGTCACATAGAAAGAACACATCTTTTTGCAGATCACTTTAAAAGAAGGAATAAGTTTGCCTGCATATTGTTTGAAAATCATTAGAGAAACAGATTCCACCACCAAATCTCGTGTAATACGATATTTATCCACTCTCGACAGTTAAATTTTAAATATTTCAAACGCTCGGCGAGCCTCGCGTTTTAAATTTGAAAATTTAACTGTCTCGAGTGGATAAATATCGTATCACACTCGATGCAGTGGTAGAATCTATATTTATATACATATACACATACCTACATAAGTCCATGATATTAAATATTTCCTCTGGTTTTGTTTAGATTTCCAGACTCCTGTAACAAAAATAAAATACACTTTTTGAATGATTTCATTTTCAAAGGTCATTTTGTATTATATAGGTACATTTTTTTGTACGAAATAAAGATCTGATTCAAAATCGTATTTTTATTTTTATTTTCAAACTTTTTTTATTTTCCCGCATTTGCGCAGAAATCACTTTATTTCTTCCGGTCTCGTTTGTCACGAGACTTTGAATAATAAATATATTTATCAGTCTAGTAAAATATAGGAGCACAATAACAAATTTTTCATTTTTATTATTCTTTGATTATAAAAAAAAAAACGTTATCTGATGATCGCGTTTCATTGTTTACATGAAATTGACGTCACAACTAAAATCCCTAACAACAGGATAAGCTGAAATCCGCTTGTATTAAGCTACACTCAAACAACCGATACGACCCAAACGTGTAGTGCAAAATTTTCCATGGAGATTTTAACGAGATTTTACGGTACTTTGTTACATAGCAACGTACAATATCCGAAAAAGTAAACAAACAGAACAATTTGTTTTTTGTTGCATAAAGCATAAAACTTAATGCGTAAAATAAATTCCTATTATAAATCTAAATAAATTACTGCAGTTTAAAAAGAAAATAAAAAATAATTAATTTGAAATCAAATAAAATTCCGCTAAACTGCATGAATGATTCGAACACATAAAAGTCATGGTAAACGTGACGTCATACAAAATGAAAACTTTCGAACTGAAGGTTATTGCGATATGTCCACTATAAATGTGACAGTAAATTTCAGCCAATGAAAAATTTTTTCCATCAAATTGATGGTATATTCTTTCAATCTTTATTAGCTGATTTCTTAGATTTTAGCATAAAATAAAATTTCATGTTTACAATGGGAATTGCGGTATAATACACGTGATTTGATCGGATGATTGAAAAAGTCACATGACTAATCAGATTCCTACAATAGATCGGATCTCAACTAACAATTAAGTGTAAATCTTTTGTCGATATATATTACAGTTTCTTAGGAGTAGCATGCACAAATGAAAGCAAACAATAAAAACATGACCTTGACCTTTTACCTTGACCTCATTTTCTTTTTGATGGACCCAGGACCTTAAACAGAAGACCCTGATCTCTATCACTTATGGTTTATTAGTTACTATTACATTTCTCTTTTCAAATACATAAAGGGAAATAACTCTCATATGGAATCTCAGATCTTTTCGATCAAAATTATTCACGACAACCTGAGGATATAACGAGCAACTTGGTACAATAATTTTGTCGTAATCTTTCACGGTTGCAAATGAACAGTTCGCACAAGAAAAACAGTGTTCGGGGAGATAACTCTTACAAGGGAGAGTGTTCGGTTACGCAGTGTCAGTTTCACATGGACATGATAATTGCGGTTTTGGCAAACGATATAGATTATGAGTAGTAATAGTATCAACAAGATCATAAACTACAAAAACAATATTTCCGGTAACTGGAATTATCGATTAGCCGAGGATCTAAAGTTGTGAAAAGGCTGTATGTATTACGGGAGGATGAAAAATCAGCCATTTATTTTCAAATTTGTGAAGCGTAAAACTGCGATTTGATATTTCACTGCAATACGATTCATATGTATAGAACATGAAAGTGAAAATAAAATTGTTACGCCTGAAGAGTTACTCCTCTATATCATACAAAGCTTGCAAACATATGGGATGAATATAACTATTTTTTCTGACAATCGTTTCATTTCTTAATTTAATTGTTCCGTAATTAAAAATAGTAAAGTATACTTTTTAAGTAAGACCCGTTTAACTTGTAATTCCCCACACACCTGTTTATTAAAGCAAAACGAATATCTTCATCCCTTTTTTCTCGGATTTAAACGGGGAACCCTTGCATGTTATTACGTTCTATGTCATTTGGTCTCTGGTAGAAAGTTGTCGCATTGGCAGTCATACCCCATCTTCTTATTTTTATATAGACCCTACATATATTGTGTTGATTGTTGCTTGTGTAACTTGCAGTGGGAAATATTTCATGCATATTCAGGTCAACCAAACATTTAGAAGTTTCCATATTGATGTGCAGAAAAAAAAATTTCCAACGAAAAAACAATCCTCAATTATCGGCGTAAAACGTCAAATATTGACGTTACCAGTTGAGACGCAATGTCGTGCGTAACGTCACACGTGTATAGTAATAGGTAGCTCAGAAATATAGTCTTGGAACATTAAAAGATTTTATATGTAGTCTTAGAGTAGAAATAAACTGGCCTGTCCCAAGTCAGGAGCCTGTAGTTCAGTGGTTGTCGTTGGTTCATGTCTGTCATATTTGTTTTTCGTAAATTGTTTTGTTATAAATTAGGCCGTTGGTTTTCTCAATTGAATTGCTTCATATTTTTCATGTCGGGGTCTTTTATAGCCGACTATACGGTATGGGGTTTTCTCGTTTTTGAAGGCTGTACGGTTGCCTATAATTGCTTACATCCACTTCATTTTAACTTTGGTGGATAGTTGTCTCATTGGCAATCATACCACATCTCCTTATTTTTGTATGGACATACAAATCTCCTTTGCACTAGATAGAACCAACACTTTTTTATACTAGATAGTACATTTTATTAATGGACTAGATTGAAATAACACTTACTATACCGAATAGTTCATTTCATTAAATAAAGCATTGTTTGGTTGATGTACATTAATTATACACGTCTTTTTATGTAGCATAGACATGAATGTTAAACGAGAACAGTATACGTCTCCATATCTACGGTGCTGAATTATATTATAATTTATATAGAATAGTGTGTTCGAATAGAAACTGATTAATATACTAACACAATAATTGACACTTTTTAGCCATGTTTAGTTTCACTCTTAATATAATTTAAATTAGGGCAAATAAAGACCATAATTTCTTTATCGGAATAAACGTGTATATATGAAATCATCGAATCTGTAGTGAAATAACACCGTTTAACAATCAAATAGACTATTTGTTAATAAATGCATATTCTTATTTTCAATCAGAGAGTAGAGTCATGTAACACAAACGAGTTTCAGTGTAGTAGTGGGGAATGCATACCTTCAGGAGATAGATGTGACAATTCATTTGATTGCAAAGATCGTTCTGATGAAAATAACTGTAAGTCAACTGACGATCCTGATAGTTATATTGCTCTCATGAATGGAGTAGTTACTGCAAAAGAATTTTATTTCGTTCATACATGTATATCTATAGGTACGTTACCGGAAAGAATACCGAACTATGCTTTGTTTATTGTTTTAGTTTCTACTTTATGTAATGAAAATGTATATCATTGTACGTAATTCATATTACATTAAGTGAATGAAAATTACAGAAACCCTTGCATTTACCAGGCGAACAAAAGTGAATTATGAATATTTTGAGACTACACTAAAACGAACAAGCAGAAACCCCCAAACAAAAAAGTCATAACAAATACACGGATGAAATGAATATGTACGAAATCATATTGTTATAAAGTATTAAACATTTTTATTATACAACTGTTCAAATGTATTGAATTCTTACTCAAAATCTGAAAAGGTGTTCCTTAATATGATGCCTCAGTAGACGAATTCTAAATATGATTGTCTTCTAGGCTTCTATGAGATTTCTTAAGCCAATTGATAGAAATACACAGAATAAGTTCATCCACGCTTACGTGGGTTAAATGTGGCTCTGTTTGTTTTTGTTTTTGTTTTTATTTTTGTGTACGTTTAATTATCTTCCCGTCTCTTTGTTTTTGTTTTTAGGACTCTGAGTATTTTCTTCCTCTTGAACAGGTTTTACTTTTTTGATTGACAGATAATTTTTTTGTATATAATTTCTGCTAAATTTTAGGTCAAGGTGTACAACCATGTCCCGAAGGAAGGCATAAGTGCGACACCGGTGAATGTGTTACAAACAGAAATCTATGCCCAACACTAACGACTATAATAGAGTTATCGACGTCTAATGTAGAATCATCCACTCAAAATCAAAAGGAGATAACACCAACAAACACATTTCTGAAACAATCGTCTTCATCATATATATCATCTAAAAATGACATTCAACCAACGGCAACTCGTCCCATGCCAAATAGTGCAACAATAGATACGACGCCACTAGTAAAAGCCGTTACAACTCCAACTGATGATCACGATCCTGATAGTGAAAGTAATAATCTTTTATGTAAGTAGTGAAATAACCATTAATGAATCTAATTATTGTGGTACAATTTTAGTTATTGAACATATAACGTGCAATAACAGTCCAAAGAGAAAATTGAATTTTAGGGTAATTTGTAAGGAAACAGATTTTAAATATTTTTTAACAGCATGTTATACTATAACAGACAGAGGTGTCATAGGAACAATTTTATTGAAATAAATACACATATTATCACGTATCACACCTGAAATTATTCTAAAAATGTCTATGCAAGATGTTAAGATCTTTGTCATACCGGGCACATGTTGTTTCATCCAGAGCCTATAGAATATGGTGAATTACCTGAAATAAACAAAAATATAAGACTTTTTTATTTTTGTGATTGATTAACCACTTTTAAATCAATCATAAAATGCCTAGTATGTTTTCGATATAGGCTTGTCTAAGTCTGAAAAAAACGTATATAATATTTCTTCGAAGGACTATCTCATTGCCGTTCGTCAAACAATTTTGAATATTTGCAGAACAGGTGTAAATGAAACTACAGAAGTTTGAAATCTAGCTTTTCGTAAACTTTTTGAATGACAAAGAATACTGATAGCAGTGAAATGTTTGGCTTGAGAACAAATTGAAATAATTAATGAGAATATCCTGCAATCATTAACCAATTTAAGTTTGACATAAAAGGTTATAAAATGATACGATTGCACTGTGCACAACACGTGTCACTGATTTAGCCTTTAAAACGATGAACAATTTAACTGTTGACAGAACATACCAAAAATAACCTCGTACATAGAAACGAAAAATTGTTAATCATACCTCTTAGTCAAATAGGGGCAGCCGTTTGACACTGTTTTTAGTGCAAATAAAAATCTTACAGTTTTGAAAAGAAGTTGCACAAATATAGCATTGACGCAAATACATTGTGGCGAATGAATGTTTTCTTGGGGCAAACAGATTTCGGTTGATCGTCTAAGACCAGCTTTCCCGTAGAGATATACAGAATTTATATAAGCATAATTACAAAGTTATATGTAATGATCTATCTCTTTATCTTCTGCGTACTTAAATCCTTGTTTTTATTGTTTTCAGACTTGCTATTACTACTGTTGCTGATACCGATTTGTTTATTTGCATATTATTTATGGAACCGGCTTAGAAAAAGTGATAATTCACTTGTTTAGACAGGAACATGGGTAATAACTTTACGTATTTATTATTAATTATTTTTATGCCCCCGCCGTAGCAGAGGGGGCATTAAGTTTTACCCTTGTCCGTCTGTACGTCCGTACGTCCCAAAGTTTCTGTTCTCTAACTTTAGTTTGCCTCAACCAAATGTTATGAAACTTATACACAATGCTTATTACCACAAAACACAGATCGAGTTTGAATTTTGGTGGCGTCACTATAACCGTTCTAGAGTTATGCTCCTTTACAAATGGAAAAAATTGCTGAATTTTTCGTTTCCGTTTTCTAACTTTAGTTTGCCTCAACCAAATGTTATGAAACGTATACACAATGCTTATTACCACATAATACAGATCAAGTTCGAAATTGGGTGGGTTCACTTTTACAATTCCTGAGTTATGCCACTTTATAAACATAAAAACAGCTGAATTTTTTGTTTCCGTTCTCTAACTTTAGTTTGCCTCAACCAAATGTTATGAAACTTATACACAATGCCAATTACCACAAAATACAGATGAAGTTTAAATTTTGGTGGTGTCACTTTTACCGTTCTAGAGTTATGCCTTTTTACAAATGGAAAAATTGCTGAATTTTCGTTTCTGTTCTCTTACTTAAGTTAGCCTCGACCAAATGTTATGAGACTTATACACAATACTGATTACCACAAAACTCAGATCAAGTACAAATTTGGGTAGCATCACTTTTACTGTTCTTCAATTATGTCCCTTTATAACTTTATATGATATGCAAGCGGGGGCATCATCTGTGTCCCATGGACACATTCCCCATTTATGTTTTTAAATGTCGTGCATTCTTTGTCGGAATGAAGGGAAGTGTAAAATTCAGATTTGAATTGTACTCTGAATTATGCAATCACACATCCATGAAACAAACAAATGAACATAAGAATAATGAGATGCGATATAAATGCCAATAATACAACTTTTCACCACAGGCCAAATGACGTGGGTGTAAGCAACTAAAGGTCACCGTCCGGCCTAAAACAATTAGCAAAATTCATACTTTATATAGAATAAGCTGTACGATTCGTGGCATAATGGGAATCAATTCAAAAGATGAAACCAGCGGCGTGGTAAATGCTGGAATATATCAACGAACAATAAATATGGCAGACACCAAACAACAACAACCACTGAACTATAGGCGCATGAATATAAAGAATGTTGCGTATTAACATAATATTAGGACAAAGCTGGTCAAGTTAATCGTGCCTTTTATAACATGTGCTGTAAAAAGGCACGATTAACTTGATCAGCACTTAGCAGAAAAACTCTAACAAAAAGACTACAAGCCCAAGGTACCGAATTAAGTGCACTCGTAGTTTCGAAGCTAGTTCAAAGCCAATTAACAAACTTACCTGAGCAAATATTAATAACTTCATTAGATAAGTGTCAAGACGTCGTTTTAATTTGGGTCCATTAAAAGGTTAATATGATATGCATTTTTCTCAAACACTAAAAATTAATTTATAAATAACTATTTTTTTTTCTATCAATTTTAGGGACGAAAATACCAGGAATAAAAGGAAGTGATCACATGCATCCTTTTTCGAACTCAGGAAATATAGATATATTCTCACTGAATATTTCTGAAGTTTGGTGCTAATATTAATTGGATATATCACATTGGACTTGAAATATGATCACGAATATTATTCCAAGATTGCGTCCTCCTTTCATAATTTGCGACATCAACGAATCTGACATGTTACAATACGTCTACATACCATCAGCGACACGACACAACACGTTTACATACCATGGATCAGCGACATGTCTCAATACGTTTACATACCATCAGCGACATTCCGTGAGCCACTTGTAGAGAATGAACTACTACTACTAACACTTCCGGAACACCTAAGTGTATTCATATGTTTTTAATCCGTGTTGCTTTGGCTACAGTATTCTGTATTGTATTAAATATATTTTTAACATTGTCTCGTTTATCCGTCATCGTAAGATATAGTGGGTATTTTCATATTTTTTTTTTATTTGCTGTTATTTGCTTGTTTAACTTTCTTTTTTATTTGGTAAAGCAAGATGTTGTTTTCTTCTTTTGGCTCATAGTCTTTGGTTTCGCTTTGGTACATTTATTCACTTTTAATGTAACTTATTACGAATAACGAAAGCGTATGACATAAAAAAAAAAAAATGGAAACATCAATTTATAAATGTCATGCGTCCAGAGCACTTTTCAAGATTTATATATACCTGCATTTGGAACGCTCAGAGAAGAATATTTGAGAGCCAAGGATGTACAAGAACCGAAACAGTTGAAGAGCTATATGACCACAAAGAACAAAACAAAAATATATAGCCAAGTCCATCTACGTTTAATTTTGTCTGAGACAGTTGAAACCTTAGTTCAAATTGACATTTGATGAGCGTCGACAAAATTTAATAAAGATTATAACATTGTTGATGAATAGTTCTTAAGCTCAAAAGCGCTTATCTTGCACAATTGCGACTCGACATATAAGACCATACTTAAGAACTTATGATAATGAGGGTAATGACATTCCGACTGAGTAGACATGCGATTGCTGAAATAATCTTTGCAAATTATCGGTTACATAATAATAAGGTTTATCATTTCTTCAAAAACACTTCTCTGTATCAATTTTCTGATGCGATATTTACATGCCCACAAATAGTTAAACAAATACCCGTTAACGCTTAATCGGTTACATAAAAATAAGGTTTATCATTTCTTCAAAAACACTTCTCTGTATCAATTTTCTGATACGACATTTACATGCCCACAAATAGTTGAACAAATACCCGTTAACGCTACTGTACCACATTCATGACAAATTGTAATACACTTTAATTTAGTCGTTATAAAAACAGACAAGAAGGCGGTTGAAAATGCGTTTTTCTATAAATCAATATTTTATTTTCACTTTAAAAGAAATTTGCTCATTTTGTTAAGTGACAATCTTTTTCAAAGCAAAATATCTTGTAACCGGAAAAATAAACATATTCGGATAAAGTATTACAGAGGTTATATTTTATTATATTAGTTTAAGAACTTTAAATTATCATCTGATTCACAACACCGGCGGTCCGCGTTTGAAATAACGTATGTGTCACTTTGTGTAAAAATGCTTACAAGGAAGTGAATATTATAATTGAATTTAATTTTTTTATAAACAGATAACATAAAAGTTATTTCATTTTGAATGTCCGGCCTCCAAAAATGACCAAAATCCATTCTTGTTTATAATAAGCTATAAGACTCGTGACAAAAAGGTAGCCAACTCAAAAGATAAAACCAGCAGCGTGGTTTATGCTGGAATAAATAAACGAACAATAAATATGACATATCCAACTATCGCGGTCATCACGTGACTTTTACAATTCAGTTGTATATCATTAATGGCCGATTGATTATCAATGAAAATGAACGAGCTACATAGATTAAACGATCATAACTTTTTTGTTACATTGTGTATTTTACCTTCCAACCCCGCGTTTTATAGTATTTTCATTTTTACAATTAAAAATGTTTTAAGTTTCAGTTCAGAAATATGATTTCTTGCTTCAAATTAAGTTTGAAAATGGAGGTGACATAACCACACAGCCTCCGTTGACTTCTTCGTTAAAACTCAATAAAATTGCAATGGGACCTTCTTATATGATCAATTTTCTCAACTTATTATTTGTTTATAATATCCTTCTAACCCCTAAAAAGATCGACAACACATTCATTTAAATGAAATCGAAACCCAAATCAGTTTAGGTAACAAACTTTTTGCTTCAAAATTTGATTGAAAAGTTTACATTTTGGCATTCGTAAACAATATTTTGAAAATGGCGGCCGATGTCGGAAGTAAACAAAGACACGAAATGTATATGTGAAATATTTATAAAAGTGTGTCTTATTGTTTTTAGAAATTTCTTATTTCACCTTTAATTTAATAAATTTATTAGAAACAGTCTCTCGCACTCAAAACAAAGATTTATATGCATCAACCATGCATTGTTTACATTGACCATGTTGACAGCGTAGGTCGACTTGTGAAAATATATATTGTAATATTTTTACGATGAAAATCAAAAAAAAACTGTTGGATGCATGCGTTTTCAGTTTTTGTCTTACCTTAAAGCATCATAGAATCAAATATTTTGTCTTTTTGATAAAGTAGATACATGCTTTTTGTTTTGATAAAATTTCGAAGTTACATAAAAAAAATGGCGACCAACCAATTTTCAAAAGTAGACGATGTTCGACACTAATTTTGCCCATGCAAATAACACAATTTAATTTCACTGTTTATATTGCAATTAAATATGACACGTTATTGTCACTCTAATAATACACAAGGACATAGCTTGATTAAGGAGATATAAAGTCATCAACGTGATCAAAGAAAACAAACACGGCACCTAATCACAATGTAAGATCATGTAAGTTTTGACAAGACTTATGTAGATTAGTATGGTCCGATTCTTATAGAAATAATTTAATGGTATTATTTTGTATTAATAAAAAAAAACCTCGAAACCCCGAGGTGAAATATCTACATTTTTCAATTTTCTAAATCATTCATCACACGGGTTACCAGTAAATTTTTCATAATCCTAATTAAACCAGTAACATGCAGAGTTATCGAACGTAATTATGACTGGTATAGTTGCATATGCAGGCATCAAACAACGACAACCACTGAACTACAGGCGCATGACTATAACGAATGTTGCGGGATCAAACATGTTTGAGAGCGGACAAACCTTCCTACACCTGGGACAAGGGTGTATTAACATAATGTAAGGACAAACTATTAACATGTGCTTTAAAAGGCATATTTAACTTGATCAGCACTTAACAGAAAAAACCCTAACAAAAAGACAAAAAGCCCAAGGTACCGATCTAAGTGCATTCGTAGTTTCTGACAGCTAGTTCAAAACCAATTAACAAACTTACCAGAGAAAATATTAATTACTAGTACTACATATCTAATGGAATAAGTGTAAAGACGTCATTTCAATTTGGGTTCATTAAAATGTTAATATGACATGCATTTTTCTCAAACACTAAAAATTCATTTTATCAACAACTATTGTTTTTCTGTTAATTTTAGGGACGAAAATACAAGGAATAAAAGGAAGTGAACACAGTCATCCTATTTTGAACTCAGGAAAAATAGATACATTTTCACTGAATATTTCTAAGTTTGGTGTTGCTATTGATTGGAGATATTGCATTGGACTTGAAATATGAGCATGAATCAATTTTTTTGGTACGGTATTTACATGCCCATAAATAGTGAAAAAAAACAAAACGCTACTGTACCACATTCACGACAAATTGTCATACACTGTAGTTCAGTCGATATAAAAACAGACAAGAAGCCGGTTGAAAATGCTTTTCTGTATTTATTCATATTTTATTTTCCCTACAAAAGAAATTTGCTCATTTAGTTAAGTGACGATCCTCTTTCAAAGAGATTTAAAATATGTATCTTCTTTTACCGGAAATATAAAAGTATTTTGATAAGATATTGCATAGGTTATATTTTATTATACTTTATAGTTAGAGTACTTTAAATGTTTTGTATGATTCACAACTCTTCACCTTGTATAAATTAAAACCTTTGTCATGTTGTGTAAAAATGCTGACAAGGAAGTGAATATTTCAATCAATTTAAATTCTTCCATTAAACAGTTTAAACCGATATATCATTTTAAATGCATTTGTATTCATATGGTTTTGAATTACATGTATAATATTATTTCAATTTGATCTAGTCACTGTAAGTGAATAGCCGAAATGATCCACGATAAAAACCCGGTTGTTAAAATCGTAACATATTTACCTAAGAATTGAATGTTTCTTTTTATTTTATTTAATTAGAGTGTAAAGGCATTGATCGGTGCATATTTTTTCCGCGCTTCATACTAAAAATGTGCGCACGATCAACGCTTTTACAACCCAATAAAATTACAAATTATAGCAATTTTTCGTTTGTTTTACTTCGTATTGTTGTCAAGTTGTCATGCGAAGCATGTGCTGTCAGGAATGGTGAATCTTATTGAGAAATACAATTTGATATTGGAGTGCCTCGCAATTGCTTTCAGCCATTCAAAATTACGGGTTCTCATAAAATATACATGTAATGTAATATTTTTATTTATTTCGATTGGCCAGTTATTTGTTCTGTTTCAGTTTTGCCAAATTGAATTGGATCCGCATTTTGTAACCTTCATTCGAAAACGATCATTCATATTCAAAACATTGATAGATCCAAAAAATATCCATTTGTAAAGATTACCAAGAGAACTTTGAAAACTAGATTTAAATTCTATTTTATTCTATGCAAACATCTCAATAAAATGTGTTATATGCGTTGATTTGAAAATGTAATTTATGTACTTACGGGCCAAATTATCATTTGTACAGTTTTTATTAGAACTTGAATTCTTGTCGTGTATATTGAGCTTATTTTTTGCTCTGCCAATGAAACTTATTTTTTGCTAAAGGTTTATACCAGTAGATTGGTGGGTAAAAGTAACAGCATATTCCTTAGGGAGCTACCATTTGATTTTTATGGGGGGGGGGGGGGGGGGGGGGGGGGGGAGAGGATGAAATTTTTGAAAAAAGGCAGGACAGGAGTTTTGTTTAAAAAAAAAGCAGGATGAGCAACTTGGCAAAAAAAAAGGCAGGATGACAATTTTTGTGAAAAAAAGTCAGGATAAACTAATAAAAAAGGCAGGACTGAATAGACTGAAAAATAAAAGGCAGGACAGAGATTTACAACAAAAAACAAAATCCACTAATAATCAAATGGTAGTTACTTTATTTGAAAAATTTATAGTCAATAATTAACAAAACCTTGCATGAACGTATTAAGGCCCTCTGTGTATAAACAGGAACATATATAGTTAGATGACCTGTTCCTAGGTATAAATGAAAGTTTCTTTACAAGTAT